GAGAATACCTGTATAAAGAGATCTCTCATTGTCTCTCCAGAACAATCTAGTGAGATAACTTGGGCTGAGATATTGGGGACTTTTATTGTGATCTTCCTTATCCCAGTCCACCACCAGTTCCATTTTACTACACTGGTAAAAGTACATGAAGACTCATCAGTAGCATATGATGGCCTTTTCTTTTGCAGTCTAATGTCAATTATAAACATTCATGTACCACAAAGATAGCTTTTTGAAAATAAAACTAAAATCAGTCATCTTAACAATATTCCTTTGAATTCAGTATGAATTCTTATTCCTTCCCCGATAACCGAGGTAAGTTTCTGAATTTTAAAATCCTTTTTGTAAAGTATCTTCTGGATTAGATGTCAACATTTTTATAATTATACTAGGGCAGGAATGAGCAAGTTATAACCCCAGGACTAATTTCAAAAGGTTATTACAAAGAATTCATAATTCTGGGGAAAACAAAACAAAGCAGTCCTGTTTCTGCACAGAGAATTGTGGTTCCCACCCACTTTAGATCTTACCCTTATCCTCCTCTACTCCTTGCTTCAAAACATTTCTGCAGTGAAACACACTGGAATAAATATAGTTAATTTAATTAGGAGCAACAAGACTCACTATATCACTTGTTCCAGTCTGTCCAACTGTGTCATTGGGCTCATTCTTCAGACTAAACTATAATGTGATTCATTTAAACTTACAATGTTATGAACTCAACCAATTGTTTTATTTGTTGTGAAATTTATTGTAGGCTATGATTTAAGCCAATACAGGTAGTCCTAGACTTAACGACCATAATTGAGCCCAAAATTTATGTTGCTAAGTGAGACAGTTGTTAAATGAGTTTTGCCCCATTTTACGACTTTTCTTGCCACTGTTAATGAATCATTGCAGTTGTGAAGTTAATAACCCAGTTGTTAAGTGAATCTGGCTTCCCTCATTGACTTTGCTTGTCAGAAGGTCACGGAAGGGAATGACATGATCCCGGGAAACTGCAACCTTTTAAAATATGGACCAGTTGTTAAACATCCAGATCTTGGTCACATGACTATGAGGATGCTGCAATGGTCATCAGTATGAAAAATGGCCATAAGTCACTTTTTTCAGTGATGTTGCAACTTGGAACGGTCACTAAATGAATTGTTATAAGTTGAGAACTACCTATAATTACAATATATATCTCCTACATTGAATTTTTTTGGGAATATGTTTACCTAAAGCAAATTCTGCAGGAATATTCTGGAATTTTAATTAGCACAGGAATTAGCTACTGAATCATTTCTGCAGGTAAATCACAAGTCTGCTTTAGCATATTCACAAATGTCATGACTTTTGTTCACTCATATGTTTAAATGAGGTGAATACAAAAAAATCCATCAGTCTGTCTTGAAATGAGTCTTTATTGTGCCATGTGAGCAAACACTTGCAAGTAATAATCAGATCTATCATCATGTAGATGCACAAATAGACCTTGAACAACCAATGAAGAGAAAGGGTTAGTTGGTCATTTCCAATCTTTAATGGATAATCCCCCTTCTGCACTTTTGTCCCTGCTGGACAGTTAAAAATTACTCATTGACTTCTACAATATCATCTGTACACACTGAGAAGCATTGCGATGTAAGGGTTAAAGTGTTGAAAGTGGAGTGGAGAAGACACAAATTCTGGTCCACCCTCAACAAGAGAAGTTCATTTGGTGAGTTTGACTAGTTACTGCCTCTCTGCCCAACATACCTCGCAGGATTGTTGTGGGAAAAATAGGAGGAGGAAGCATGCTACCTTGAATTCCTTTTTCAAAAGATGGGGTGCAAATAAATACACCCCCCCCCCCAAAAGCAGATAAATACACCCTATTGACATTGCATACTTAAGTATCAATAAGCTTCCTGTGAAACCTTTTTACCAGGATCAAATTATTCACAAGAAACCTTATTGATGTTAAAGCTAATTACTCTAGGGATCTCCAATCTATCTCTTACTTGTTGCAGCATGATCGGGTAAAGAATGTATATTGGTCTAAAATCATATACTTTTAAAGTAAAATTGTAAAGTACTGAGAATTCTTGGCAAATCTAGCACTATACCAATATAATAAATAACTGCCCAATAATAGATTGTACAAAATTCTTGTTCCTTAACAAACAACAAAGTAATTAGAAAGCATTATAAGACTACAAAGCAATCACTAGAGGAGGAAGGAGGAAGTTGGTGGGAAGAAGAGAAAAAGGACGAATAACCCTTTTATAACGGCTGGAAATCACATTCGCCCCCCACCCCCACCCCTTAGAGTGTTCTTCTTCCTGCCTTTCTCAAGGAAGTGTCAAATCTAACACCTTTGCAATAAAGAAGTGGAAGTTTTTGAAAACCTTGTAACACCTAATCAAGGGATGTAAACTTTCTGTAAACCTAATTTGTGGATTAAAGAATCTCTAACATTTTTCAAATGCTTTTTTTTTTTTGTCATTTTAATTATAAATTAGCCAATTGAAAAAGAAAAGCATGAAATGGTCTCCAACCCGAAAGGGAGAATAACTTTACATATTTATCTTCTATTTTAATTCTAGTGCCCTAACTAGTAAACAATGCAATAGAATTTCACTTTATGTCTTTACTGTATTACCCATAACAATGCATCCTTTTAAAATATCCATTGACATTTCTGAAATCAAACCTCCCTTCAGTTTGAAGCACTACTAATTCTTTTCCCCCTGTGTGTTTGTGTGTATGTGTCCATTAAAATTTGTTACCCTGAACAGAGCAGGGAAACTGCAGCAACAATCTCTGCAACTCCCTTTCCATAAAGTAGGGAACAGGATCACCAGCACTGTAACTCTTAAACTAGTTGACTTACTGTAAACTGCAAATCATGTTCCTACTCTTAAAGCATTCACAATTGGGTACAATATTTTCTCTAAAATTGCTACTGCTTCTTCACTTCTAAGAAGCTTAAGCGACTTGAAGAATGGATCTTTGATAATTATCATCCTTTATTTCAGCCTCTCTCTCACACTTGAGTCCCATTTGCTGGATAGCTCTATATCTTATTTCCACTTAGAGAGTTTTCCACTGATAGATTCTACCTTACATATATGACAGCGTATTATATGTATGTGCAACCTACCTGATTCAAGACTATTACTATTGGTGTCATCTTGAAGCTATTCTATCTATGACAGAACTGAAGGGGTGAGTTCCTGGAGTTTATTTTTTATTATTTTTATTATTTTATTTTTATTAAACATTTTAAGGGAAGATAGGAACTAATATGAATATAAAGTAAGGAAAAGGTTCTTGCACTTTTAACTTTCTTTGATCTTGTTTTCTTTTACTTTATAATATTTTGTAGTTCCTGAAGTTAACTATTGGCTTATTTCGATGGCTTCTTCATTCATACAAAAATGCTTTTGCACATGAAATATGTGGGAGACCTTTTTCCCCATAAAGATAATTCAATAATGAAGATTTGGCAGTTCTCACATAAAACCATAGTGCAAAACATGACAGAGACATGATTTTACCATTATCTGCTGTATCCTCTGAAACAGAAGAACTGGTAAACTTACCTATTATAACAAGTTCTGAAGCTCCAGTGATGCTGATATAGTGTGTGTGTGTGTATATATATTGATTTGTCAATCGCTTACAAGATAATAGGTATAAGTATGTACATAAGTTATGAATACATGAAATGGGTACATATAAGAAAAATAAAACAATAGGACAGGGAGAGTAGGCACGTTGGTGCGCTTATGCCTTTTCATTGTACCTCCATAACCACAAAGATTCATTGGTGAGGATGGCTACCTTTTAAATAGCTAAAATAATCTTCTATCCCAAATTCTGAGTTTTATTGTGGCCAAACTACCATGTGTTTTCCCACCTCTGGCTGAAGCCTCCTGTGCTGCTACACTTCATTTCCAAGGGAGATGGGACAAAAGTCCAGTTCAAAAGGAAAACAGACAGCAGGGTGAGAAGAAAAATCCTCTTGCAAGACTTTATTGAGGTCTGTTCATATTTGTTCCAAAGTTACTATCTCAACACATTGCACTATGTATTGTTTTTCACAAATAAACACAAGCCCAGCAAAATATTACTGCTCACATCCTTTCAAAATGATAACTTTTCTGAACCTCTTTGTAAAAGCTTAATAATATTCACTTACCTTATCCATATTTTCATTGAATAAGTATCATATTGACATGCCCTTCATTTACCCGTTCAAAAGTATTAAGAGATTTATAAAGGATAATTTTGTAACATTTCAGTCTTAAATGTTTAGATTTATAATCTTTAAGACATAAAGTTCCTTTCATTGACATACATACAGATTTTTAAAATGGACACAGGACCTAGGACGCTGAAAGTTTCTTCTCCATGGGTGGAATAATTTTAAGAAGCTATTATCAACAGACTCATTCCTCAAGTATTATATAGTTTATTTGAAAACAGAAGTTCTAAATGTATGAGGTCATCCTAATGCTTTCATCAATGAATGCAGCTATGTGCAGCGTAGCTCAGGAATGCACCTGAATTACTTCAAAAGTTTCCAAATTACCCTCTCCCATAATAGATTGATAATGTAAAAATATGTGTTTACATATCACTATTACTTTTTTCATTTCAGATGGAAAGATTACAAAACACCTTTTATTACAATGTTCATTATTTATTAACATTTAGATTTGGAGAAGTATTCTATTCTGGTCCGCCTGCATGTATGTCAAAATATTTTCTGAACTCTTGAGAACATCTTTTCCCTCTCAAAATTGAAGAACATGGTGCTGTCAAAAAGATTCTAAATAAACTGCAGCTTGTTATGTTGACCATTTAGTGATTCCTCATCATGGCTAAAAAAATATCATTTTTGGATAGAAAATGGGACTCTATACTTCCTCACTACAATATATTCTCATGGTTTGCAATAGAGGAAGAAACCAAGGGTATAAAACCATTTTTGTTCTTTATTTCAGAGCTTTTAAACTCAAACAACTTTAACACTGGAGACAGACTATGTACAATGGAATTTTATTTACTGAATGTATGCTGGTTCCCTTGCTCCGAACACTCATACTGTACCATCATAGATCATCATTTTAGCCATTGTCCATCCACTGCAGGATGAAGGCCTCTTCTGCATGTTTCAATACTGTCCTGAGCTGTTTTTTGCCAATTGGGCCTACAATGCTTGCTGATGTCAATTCATATATGGTGTTATTTTCACTCTTGATATTATTGCTTGATTTACACAAGAAAACCTTCCTCTATCTACCCTAGAAGCAGAAAGGCCTTTCCAAGGAAGCTCATTCCTTCTTGGGGAGGCAAAGGGGGAGAGAGAATGGTGATAAATTCGTACACTGGAAGAAAAACAACTCTTGGGCCAGGCTTTGTATTAAGACTATTTACATCAGATAGCCTAAAAGGCAGTTTACAAAGTACACACCTTCCAGTCAATGTTGTTTCCACTTTTTATTGTTCCACATAGTTAACAAAAAGAACTATTACACAGACAGCCCACATTTTACATGTTTATCCCTCCTTTTTCCTAAATTGGGGCATTTTCATAGGTTAACAACTTCTGCAATCTGATGCCCCCAACTATCTTTGCTGGTTGTACTGGAAAGGAAACAGAATATCAGGTTGAGAAGACTGCCATAGATATCTATGATATGAAGTCTTCCTGGAAAAATAACAGTAAGAATACTAACACTTTTTTTCAAAGACAAGTTTCATGAGGAAGGATGCAGTGGAAGATTTTTTTTTTAAAAAAAGTTGTGGTTGTCAGCTTTCTAACCAATTAAGTGTCATTAACTGATTTCCATTCAACCAGGTTTCATTTGTCCAAACTGTCAAGAATTATTAGTTTTAAATTGGTTTCTATGCAAATTTACTTAGGTTTAAGCAATACTCAACACAAGTTTTCCTTGCTTCTAAATGAGCATGCTTGCATTGCTTGAAAATCTGCTGGGATATATTTTCAAAAAATGAATCTGGAAGACGCAGAACAAATCTGAGGAATTTAGTGTGCTGAAATCAAGATCAATCCAAGAACAAATGAAACATTCCAGCTTCTCCGGACTTGAACAGACAAGTTCAGTACAAGAATTAAGTGCTTAATTACCAATGTTTGCACTCAAGGATACATATTTATTAATCACTAACATGGAACTGAATATCTACAACAATGCTGTGCCTTAAAATACAAGCAATCAATGAACTTTTATTTTAAAAAAGATTAAAATAAAAATTTGACAAGCGAATATATATACACATACATACATACATATGTATATATATCTCACAGTAAAATTCATGTTCATTTTGTATTAGATGCGCACAAAACACATTTCTAGAAGGCACCCTGCCACCAATGTTTTAAATGTTTACGCCATTTAATCCTGATTTCCAGTTTCCTCTTCCTTCACTGAAGGAGAAATCCTAGAATACTAAACTCATCAAGAAACTAGCTGCATCAATCCCTTTCAGGGATTTTCCTTGGCTTATCTTTTTTAAAAAAAATCTATCATTAAAATATATGAAATTCTGCATTAATGCTTTACTTCATACCTTTAATTGAATTAAACCAACAGGTTCTCAAATCTACAAGGGCTTTTTCTTAACCCAAACTACAAGTATTGGAGGCACTTACTACATCCCCCACAAGAAAAAAGTAAGTTGCAAAAACAGTGCTGTGCATCAAAAGAGCTCTTTTGCATACACTTCCAAATCTTTTGACCCCATACCCTTAGCAATAATTAAGAAAAAAAAGACATACAAATTTCAGTTCTCATACTCACAGATGAAATGTTAACTTACTTAGCAATTCAATCTGTCAATATTTGACAGTGAAAGAGTATCAGCTATACAGTCCTGCATATAATATAAATGCACTATCTGAAATCCTCACTGTCTATATTCCAATGGCTAGAAGAACACAGTGCTCAAGTATTCTCCCTATTAGGTAGATCTGTGTTGGTTCTTGTGAAGTTTATTACCATGGTCTCCACAAAGATTTGGAAAGGCTGGGAGAAGGCACATTTTGACTCCGAGACCTGTCCAGTCCATCCAAAGAGATGTGGCTTTGTTCTGTCTCTGTGTTGTCCAGATCTGAGCAAATCTCTTCACTGGAGGAAGGTGAAGGAAGAGGGGAAGTGAGACTTGACAGGCTTAACGTTCCATGTGAATCTCCAGGCATTTGAAAAGGCTCATCTCCACTTGCCCGCTGGCTGATGGAGGGATCTGATAAGACATCCACAATCAGGTCTTGAAAACTGCCTTCGTTCAGGGGCATTGACTCTAAAAGGTGATTCAAGAGCTCTGCTGCAATGGTAGAATCAATCCCAGGACAATTGGAGACAAATGTATGAACTTCATGCATGCACTGAATATACCCAGCTGCAAAGCGTTCACTGGCCTCTCGCTGCATTTTGTCGCCATCTGAGATGCAGGTAAATAAGGAAACAAATACAACCAAGTCAGAAATCACCTCTTTTTAGACCTTTCATCAATAATGTATTTGAATCAATTCCTCTCATCTCACAATGTCAACTAGTTTAACTGTATTACACTTGCAGCCATGTCTGTGAAAAACCCTTTTAAATTAACATTAAGATCTCCAATGGAAGGATAGTCAGAATTCATTTCAAAATTGATTGGAAAAGCCACATTATTTCCAAGATGGAAAGTCTAACTGAACAAGTTCCACTTTTGGAAGACAAGAGTTTTAAAGCCTTTCAGTTTCTGTGCAGAAAGAAACTCTTAAAAATATTTCTATGACATTTTTTAAAATTTCACTCTTATGAAGCTGCAGAGCTGCAAGTATCCAGCTAATTAAGATTGGGAAAAATAACTGATCAGTTATAACATAAAAGATTCAGGAAAGGAAAAGAAACACTGAAATAATTAAGAGTAAAGAGTGGAATAAAATGGTCAAGGAGGATCTGTTTTGTTCTAAAAGAATATGTTCAAAATAGCAATGTCAACTAGGGCCTAATCCAGTTAGAAGAAAGGAATCACATATACTGTCCAATTGAAAACTATCTCAGAGCACTTTGAAAAAGAGAAGGGTCTTTCCCAGGCAGTAATTACAATTAGTCCAATTAGGAACTCCATGGAAGCAGCAGCCTATATTCTGGCAGGAACGGGTCTTTTTAAAACTGTTACCCCTTCTTCGGAAAAACCAAGCAGGATCACCTCCTGCGGGAGTTCACTCGCCAATCTACCGGAGGGTCCCTTTTAATGTAGCCACCCACGAGAATGAGGCGCAGGGATGACGGGGGCAGCCGACACTCACCTAGCGACCTGCTCTGCAGGATTCCCTGCACTCGCTTCACCGTCAGCTCCAGCACCTCGGCGTTCTCCATCTTCGTTTGGAACTAGAAGGAAGCAAAACGCGCAGCGGGACACAAGAATGGTCAGCCTTCCCCTCCCCTCCGCCGCCAACACCCCCCCCCCCTCCACTCCCTGCGGAGATCCCCATCCCTGCCCCTAAATCTTCGCCGGCCAAGTCACCTCGGTTTCCGACAAGATCAGACGTAGCTCTTGCAGGCTTTCGTTGATTCGCGCTCGCCGCTTCTTCTCCACCAGCGGCTTTCTTGCCTGGCCAAGGCGGGAGGAAGCAAAAGGAAAGGGCGTAACTAACAAACAACCCGCTGCACGCGCGTGGGAATGCATGCCAGGCAGCTCGAGGCTGCAGAGCCCCATCCATCCCCGCCACCCGTTGGCATCTCTTCCCCTGGCTCCCAGGCGCCTCACCTTCCTATCTCCTCTGGCCTGGGAGAAATCCTCCTCGTCCCGGCTCGATCGGGTTTTTTTGGAGCGAAAGGAAGGAGCCATGGTGGTCCAGGGCAAACGCAGCGAAAGCGAAGGGCAACCAGACGGGCCGGCGGGTGGAAGGGGGAGGAGAGGGAAGAAGAGGCGGCTCCTATCGCAGCAAAAGCCGGGCGGGGCCCCCTCCTCCTCCTCCAACCCCAAAATGTCTTCCTCCTTTCTTCCCGGGGCCGATTTCCACCTCCGCAAGCCCATTCGGCGCCCCCTCCCGGAGCCGCCGCCCCAGCCGTATTTATAGGGTCTAATTTGCATGTCAATGAGCCTATTGGACGCCGTGCGCAGAGAGGCAGCTCAAATGTGGACCCGAAGCACCAATAACAGGCGAGCGCTTTGTCTCTTCGGTGGCCGGAGAAGCCGCGAGGAGGGGGGGAAAATCGGACCAATGGACGTGAGGTCCCGTCCTACGTGCGTGCATCGGACGGGGGGGGGGAGGGGTCGGTTGTTCCGAGCGTTTTGTGTGGTTTGGTTTGGTTTGGTTTTACCCCTCGCTGCCGTTGGCGTGTTTTTTTGCTCAGCCTTTCAGTCCCGTCAGTTATAATGAAGGGTGGTCGGTCTTCCCAATAAATCTCTTTATTAGTTTGGTTAGAAAGTTATGATTCCAGAATCTTGGCCAGGATAAAAACTGCATATTCGGGAGAGAGCGAGCTCAGAAATGCCTGTATTTATGCCCGCTCAGGCATTGAGATTTGTATAACAAAGAAACGTCGACAGAAGGGGCTACACGGTGGAAGCTTCCGTCTTACATTTAGCCCCCACTGGGATTTCTTTTATATTAGATATTGTGCTGATTTACATCTCAACTTGGAAACTTCGATCAATTGAACTGAGAAAGATTTGCAGTTTTCCTTTAAGGTTTTTCCTTTTCTGCCAAACTGTAGACCAGTGGTTCCCAACCTTTTTTTTCACCCCGCACCCCTAAAGAAATTTCACTCGAACCTTGCACTCCCTGAAATTTAGACTTTAGGAACTACTGAACGTGTTAAATATATGGTAGGATTGAATCTTTTCAGCTATGTATGTGACGGCCACTAAATAACAATACTTAACTCTAAAATGAAAACAAAGTTAATCCATTGCATAATAAAGAAAAATGCCAACATATAGCCAATATCCTATTATTTACCTGGACTTTTCTCACACCCCCTGGAATATCGTCTCGCACCCCAGGTTGGGAACCCCTGCTGTAGACTGAGAAAAGGGACCGGGCTGTCAGAGAACCTGAGAAAAGTGACTGCCTGCTGTTAAAGAACGTCTGGAGTGGAAGGATCTCTGGGCAGCAACAATACAAGCAATTTTAGGGAATGACACCACTTGTAAAGTAGTTGCAGCTTTATACAGAAGTGGTAAAAACGGGTGTCAAAGTCAAGGCCCACGGGCCAGTTGCAGCGTGTGGGATGCTTAGATCTGGCCCATGGGGCTGCCCTGGAAACAGCGAAGGATTGGCCTGCGGTGCCTTTGCCAGTGCAAACAGGCTTCCAAGCTCCATTTTTGCTGGCAGAGGATTTCAGGAGGCTGGCACAGCCGAAAACGGAACTGGGAAGCTTGTTTTCACTGGCAGAGTGCTCGGGCCACCACAGGTGCCTCTGACTCAAATAATGTCAAGCTGGCCATGCCCCCCTGGGCCCCTGAGGTCAAACACAACCCTGATGGGGCCCTCAATGAAATCAAGTTTGACACCCACATTCACAAGACAACACTTGTTCTTGGAACTAACACTAATATAGCAGGACTTACATACCTGGCACATCACTAGCAATACTGCAGAGGCTCACTGTCCATACAACTGCTCACTGCTATACAGATAATCCTTGACTTACAACAGTTTGCTTAGTGACCGTTTGAAGTTACAACGGCAGCAGTGGTGGTATTCCAGTTTGGCCCGTTTCTGGCATACTAGTAGTGCCAAAGATCAGCTGGCAGAGAACTGGTTCGCTCCGAGTCTCTCCGCCACTCTGCAGTTGGGCCTGCCCGCCCGGGTGTCCCATACTGACTTTTATTTCCTGCTTTTGAAAAGCAGCTGCTTTGTGCGGCACAGCAGATTGCCGCGCGTCAGCTGTTGAAGCTACAGGGAGAGTGCAGGATTTCAGGAAGGGAGTAGGAAAGCCTCTGCGCATATGCAAAGTGCACATTTGGCGTGCACATGCGCAAAGAGGCAAATTCTATAATGTTTGCATAATGCATAGGAACAGAAAACAATCAAAAACCTAACCAGGGCAACATGTTTCTAAAATTGTACTTCCTGCTAGTGTTTGCCAGAAATTAGTACAGAACATTGTACAGCCTTTTACATGGGAACTAATTCTCAGTCATAATAATTTAGAGTTTGGTAGCACTTTTCCCAATTAACATAATTTATTAAAAGATACAAGCTTTCATCAAATGCACACAGAGGTTGTATAATTTAAATTGGGATGACATGAAGGAGGTACGTAGATAAGTTGAATCTATATGAAAATATCAAATCTATCATATATATAGGCAGATGGTATACCTATATACAAATAGTTGCATTTGTTCCAATCCACTTGACAGAGGTGCTCAGTTGAGGGAATTAAACCAGACATTCAGGAGATTGAGTTAACAATCTACTGAAATTTATTGACAAATCAATAAGAGTCAAATCAGTTTCCATGAGACATCATTTTAAAGACCAGCAAACAGAACTATAAAACACCACTGATTGTTAATAATAACTTACAGCTCAAAACACTCAAATGCATTATTAATGTGCCAGAGATCATAATTGACAATGATGCCATTGTTTTTTAGATACTGGATGGCATGCCCATATTTACATACAGAGTACAATCCAACTTGTGGTAGATTCTCACAAGCAATGAAGAACAACAGGACAATTATATATCATAGGTATCAGACCCTGTAAGACAGGGGTCGCCAACCTTTTGGACTTCAGGGACCACTAAACTCATAATTTTAAATCCCAGGTGTTAGGAATGATAGTCACCTAACAGTTGGGCTGGCAATATATAAACCAGGATAGTCATTTAATACTGTTGTTTCTTTAAGAGATTGCTGTAATTGTGATTGGTTGAGGTTCCTCCGTCGGCCATAAGATGGAGCCAGAAACCTGGTTTGTTCTCTTCTTGCATTTCCCTATTGCCTTTTGCCTGATCATCGTTCTGCTGGAATTGCTGTGAGTCTTCCAAACTGTTGGCAAACTCCGTTTACTGAACTTTGTTTATGATACTGGACTTAGTTTTTGGATTATCCCTGGACTGATTGTATTGAATACTACCTGCTTTTACCGTATATGATTTGGACTGTTTGTTGGACTTTGTTTATCTGTTTACAGGAAGTAAAACCTACATTTTACTATTCAGTGTATCTGTATGCTGGTTGTGTGTTATTCCTCACCACTCTCACTACGTTTCCTTGAGTGCACTCATTCTCCTAACGGGGAAAACCTCAACATCAGGGACCACTAACCGGTTCTGTGGGTGTGGCCTAATATGTGGGTGTGGCTTGGAGGTCTTGTGACTGGCTGGGCATAGCTTGTATGTAAATATTATAAATATTTATGTAAATATTGAATTTTTTATTAAAAAAGAGCAACTTTTATCCAAAATCAGACAAAGCAGACAGGCAGATTGAGTTGCTCACAGAATCACAGATTTATTCAGATATCTATCTGTCCACCATCGGCTAGCTCAGTCTCTCAAATTTGCTTGCCGTGAGTCTGCACTGAATAATAGAACCTTCAGTCCTAAGAGAGGTCCGGCTGTGCTTAAAAGCAGAGCTGAAGATCTAAAGACTAGCTAGAAAGTAAGAAATCCAACCATTTCCTGCTTCCTAGCTAATCTAAATATCACAGCTGATGGTCGGAAAAATAGCAATTTAGCAGACAAGTTTGCCGGGTAAGGAGTGAGTGGGTGGGGAGGGTTCCCGCGGGCCATGTGGGCGGCGCAGCCTTGTGTTTCTGTGCAGCCTGGATTAATTGCTTGGGGAGTACTCTGGGGGTGAGATTTCTCTGTGGCCCACCAAATTTTTCTTGCGGCCCACCAGTGGGCCGTGGCCCTCTGGTTTGCAACAGGCTGCTGTAAGAAACCCAGATGTCTATTTTGCCCCCACATTTACATCAACAGCGCCAAACAAGTATAAACACAAGATTAGAGGGATCCTCACATACTCTTCCTTCAATATGATAAACGACATTAACTGCCAGCAACCCCCCTCTGGATTCTACATAGGACAAATGGCACATTTTCTGCAAAATAATTCTTGGGAGACAAATTTGGTATCAGGACTCAAAACAAGGACAATGTAGAAACAGCATTTTAGTCTTCTTGGACACTATAGTACAGTGGTTCCCAAACTTTTTCAGTCCACTGCCCCCTTGGTGCTACAAACTCATCCTCGGTGCCCCCCACTTGGGTGGGATTCAAATTTCTGTGGGTGTGGCCTAATTTGAGGGTGTGGTTTGCTGGTCACACGACTGGGTGGGTGTGGCTTGCTGGTCGTGTGACTGGGTGGGCATGGCCAGGTGACTGGCAAACCAAATACAAGTGGTCCTCACTTAATGACCGGTTGTTTAGCAAGTGTTCTAATTTATGACTGGCTTCCCCAGAGCTACTTGACCAGTTTTTGGAGTTTTGACAGCTTTAGATCAGGGGTCTAAATCCCACCCCTGCCTGTGTGTGTGTGAGAGAGGGAGAGAGAGAGAGGTTGGCTCAGATCTCTCTCTCTCTCTCTCTCCCACCAACACCAGAAAGCCACCATCAGTCAAAATTCATATTAGTGGTCTGCGGGATTTAAAATTATGAGTTTGGTGGTCCCTGAATTCCAAAAGTTTGGCGCCCCCTGATCCAAAGGGATGAGCCTGAGAGAGGGAAAGAGAGAGAGAAAAGAAAGAGAGAAAGAAAGGAAGAAAATAAAGAGAAAAGGGAAAGAAAGAAAGAAGAAAGAAAGAAAGAAAGAAAGAAAGAAAGAAAGAAAGAAAGAAAGAAAGAAAGAAAGAAAGAAAAGGGAACAAAGAAAGAGGGGGGATGGAAGGAAGGGACAGAAAGAAAAAGAAATAAAGAAGAAGGGAGGGAGGGAGAAGAAAGATAATGAGATATCTATTCTAGTCCAATCACCTGCTCCAGCAGGGTGAGAAGGGAGTGTGTGTGTGTGTGTTCTCCTTGTAATTTACCAGTACATTTTGGTTTTGCCTTCTTCAGAATTGGCACTATAATAC